ATTATTACATGAGTACTCGGTGCTCATGGGTTGGATTACACTCATCTTCAAATTCAGCCTTCATTGATCTCAACTACACCTGTATAGCAGAGGTGTACAAAGATGATGTTTGGTCATGGTAAAATCAGCAGACATCTAAAACAAAAGGAATATTTCCTTATTTCTAAAATTTCAAAGATAGGCTTAAGATATAGTCTGTCGCATTTTTCAAAATAAAATAACATTCATTCAGCTGACTAAAAGCTCTGTTTCAAAGTAAGAATACTTCATAGATGTGATGGGGTCAAAAGCAACAGTACTCAAGTAAATGTACTTCATTAGTCGGAATAAACTGAACTGATGGAATAAAGCAAATGTAAAATTCTAATATAAAAGTTGGAATTCTAATAATAGCCAAGTCTCAAAACAGTGATAATCACATGCAAAGAGACACTGCTAATAAAAACACTGAAGGGGTGGAATTACCTGAGTGGCCCAGTACAGCAATTAAATTAAGTATAATGTCGATTTCCACATCACTAATTCAATCAGTACGACAACTGAGTCGTGTCCCACTTGGCCTGTAGCCACAAAAAAAAAAAGATTATCTGTGTTAAAGATAGTCTAGCACAGAAATACTGAAACAGACACCATGTTTAAAATGATCATTTCTGTGTCAACAGGTTTACAACTGTTCAGTGATACTGTAAATTACACAAAATATGGCCATGACCTTTAAAACTTTTTTTTTAACTGGTCTCCTCTCATATACTTTTATAGTTAAAGTCTGTGCAATTAATAAAAGTTGTATTATTCAAATTATAAACAGGCAGATGCCTTTATATTTGTATTTTCACAGTTTAAAAGAGTAGCTGCATCATACAGAAATGTAACAAATATGATATATATGTATGTCCTTATATATCGAGAGTGATGTTTATCTCACCTATATACATACATATATACATCCTCTGGATATATGAAGATATAAGTTTATAACATATATGAAATACCCATAGTAAAATTTGTACACATACATAACATGTTGCAACCATATATGTTAATGATATATATCTAATTTACATATGCAAATTTATTTCAACAACATACATAACATAACATGAATTGTATGTGTTGATATTTTATTTGATATATTTTATATATATTATTTTGCGTTCAGACTTTTGGACCCTACTGTATATAATATCAACATATATTATACAGGTTATACAGGTTTGAGATGGATATACAGTATGTTTATATCATATAGGTCTACAAGTTAAGCATACATACATAATATTTGTACAGGCTATACATGTATATATATATATATATATATATATATAATGATGTACATATATTGAAATTCAATAAATATATAATTCTATACTGAATTTCAATATATGTACATATATTGAATTTTAATTTCAAATATATGTACATGGTATCTGATATCATGAACTAATTCACGCTGCCATGAAAACGTTTCCTCCCTGTGATCGTTCATTAAAGGGCCCCAGATATCTCACTTTACAGGCTCTTAATAATGCAGCTGGAGAGATGTCTGATGTGCTAACATGTCATCACAATTACTCATCACTGGGATCACACAGTTACCAAAGCGAGAGGCTGCTCGGGCCTGTTAATGTCTCCACCACTGCAGGAGAGGACAATCACCCATGTGGGGACTCTGAAATGAAATTATCTGAGCATCATTTCATAAAAGTTATCAGGGGAAGTTTTACAGTATTAACATAATATCATAAGAGGGAGGGGCCAAGCATGTATCCCATCTATTACTGTCTGCCTCCTTCATGAGTGTTGGTGTATTAGCAGGGAAACTGCAGAGATGTATAGGATGTCCGAGAGCAAAGGGCAGAGTTTGGTGATAAATGGCACAGCAGAGGCATGAGTAATAACCACTGCAGCACACACACACACACACATACATGTTGTCACCGCTTAGCATGAGGGGTGATTTATTGCACCAAACACACACACACACACACACGTGCCTGCAAACATGCATCCAGCAAGGTTCACACTCACACATACACTAACACATGGAGGCAGAGTGATTTATTACACCTGAAAACACCCTCACTCCCACACACCTGTCTCGGTGGACTGATGTGAAACATTTAGAAACACACTGTGCAACAGCCTTGTTAAAGTGTGTGTACAGTGCAGGTACATTTTAATTGCCTCCCTTGATTTATTCATTTTCATAGTGTGAGTTCAAACATCAAAATCACCACATTAGAAAAAAAAAACTCTGTAGCAGCAGCTAAAGATGGATGATGACAGCTCACAGTTGCTGGTTGTCATAGTAACGAAGCAAACGTGACATCCTGGTTTCACAGCAGTCAGAAATAATGTCAACAGTCTAAGAGTCTAAGCCTGAAGCTGGACTTTTAAAAGGAAACAGGAAACAAACAGTAGCCTCCCATGTTAGTGTTGATCGATAAGAAGATATATTTGTGGTTTTAAGAACCATTTATATTTATATTTAAAAGTACAAGATGTTGCTATTGGAGGCAGAGATTCTAGGTGTAGACAAGAAAAGCACTTTAAAGTTAAAGGTCCCATATGTTAAAGTTAAAGGTCCTATGTAACACTATTTTCCTGTGTTTTATTTTGAAGTGTTGATCGATAAGAGAATATATTTGTGGTTTTAAGAACCAAAAACCATCTCAGTGTAGTTTTACACCTCCTCTCTCAGGCTTCTCTTTTAAGCTTTACTAACAATGAGCCAATAGAGGGGATGGAATTATGAAGGTTGAAAAATAGTATGGATAAACTAATACATAAATAAATGCAAAATAAATACATTTTAGTAATGAACAATGGTATTTCTTTATTACTACATTTATTAATATATTCATTTCTATATTTATGCATTTCAAAATGTATTTATGTATTTCTACATTTATTCATTTCTACATTTATTTATTTATATTGGTGTCCGTATGTTAATTATTTAGGCAATTGAATGGAAGGGGATTGGATGGAAGAGAGGATCTAAGCCTCTCTTCTGATTGGCTGACTGTTTTTATGAGTGATCCAATAAAAATATAGCAGATTTCAGGTAAAACACTGAGAGAAACCAAATCCTGCAAGGATTGCATGGTGGGTCCAGGTGGGAGGGGTTTAAAGGCAGTGATTGCTTTGTTGTGACAACACAAAGTTCAGGAAGTCCTGATGGCTGGTTTTAAGGCTCAGTTTCTGAATACAGGTTGTGTGCAATAAGGTATCTATCTATCTATCTTTCCATCTATCTATCTATCTATCTACTTTCACTGTATTAATATAGAACCTAGACCTGCTTTATAATCAAACAACAAACGGACATCTACCTTTATTTATTTTTAATATTGGACCTTTTCACTTCCTCTTTTACTCCCAATGGACAACAGTCTACACAGTCATTTTGAGAATTTTGGTGATAATGACTCATTTTTGGTTTTGGTTTTGTCTCTGAATACTTCCAGCAGCTAAGAAACACTGAAACAGAATCAATGCAGAATGCATCCAAAAAAGCCTGGACGCCACTTACCTTTGCACACTGTTTATGATTCTGACACCAGCCCAATGATCCATTATTCTAAAGAGGGGAAAAAAAGAGGGAGACACAAATGAATAAGTTGGTCTAATTGAATTAAGTGCAGAGGAACACATTTTAATTCCCTAATTATAGGTTCCTGTGCTGTCACAGTTCAGAGGCAGGCGATATAATTACAGTTTGTCGAGAGAACATCACACAGCTACAGAGTTCACACTGTATAAAGACAAAGGAGTGTTTCTCCTCTCCAGTTTGTGGAACTGACTGTCCTTCATGGCTCCCTGCTGTGAAGCCTGAGGCCGTTTGCTGAAAACTAATGAGTCCAGATCCAGGATCACTGGTCAGGCCGCAGGAGACAGTGGAACAATAGATTAATCAGCACTCCTGTGTTTTGATCTCTTGGATTTTTAAAAAGTGTTAAATAAACACACACCAGTGTATTCCTAACCAAAACCAACCATGTGTTAGTCCGTTTCAATACTGTCTGACTGTCTGTGGCTCCAAGCCTGTTAATGAAACAAATGTTCATCAAACAGGAGGAAATAGAGCATTTGTTGGGGACTATTATCAGCAGCGGATAAATCCAAATTCGGTTCTCCAGGGTCTCCAGGTCATTTGTTCCGACCCTCTGATACGACCCATAGGAGTGTCTCCTGAAATAGTGCACCATGCAGGACCTTGATTGTCATGGTTACAATAATAAACACGCAGTGTTCTGATAGTGGCGTACCAGACCTTTGTCACCGTGGTTACAATTATAAACAATCATGGCTTAGTTAGGTTTAGGAAGATGTATTACAAGTGGGAAGAAATCATTTCCAAAACAGTAGAATTTAGCTGAAAAGATGTGACTATATATATAAAAACAAGGTCTATCACTATGTGATAAGCCAATGATAGTTAGTGTTAGTGTTATAGTGTTGCCGCTGGACCACATCGTATGCTTGTTTCCTATGTTAAAAGATCACATCAATTTCTCACCTGTACTCAAATCTGAATGTATTATTAATAGTTACAAAATATTGGAGGAGCCATAATGATGACTAAAGACTGAGGTTGAAAGATGGAGGGGATACAGGCTGCTGCTGTGGGCACTGCTGATGAGATGAGAGCATGTGGCCTTTCAAACACTGACATTTGCTCTGTCAATAAATAAATAGAGCGTGATTGATGGAGAGCTGAGTTAAATTGTCTCCTCTGGGGGTGGAGGGGTAGGGGGTGGAGGGGGGTGGGGGACGAGTGAAGTGAAGGTCTCTTCCTCTCTCTGAACTTCCTCAGGACTAACTGAGCTGCAGATTATTACACTACGCTTCAGTGGAGCTGAAGGAAAGGAGCTGACCAGGCAGCAGTGATAACATGTAGGGACGATGTGACTGATTAATTACTGATAATTGACTTGATTGGTGGTTGTAGAGATCATCAAACACACCAGATGAACCTAAACAGGTGAGGTAAACAGGTGAATATTGCCGAATGTCTTAAAGCCGTCAAGTCAAGCAGAGAAAACTCCCATAGTGCACTGCATGGCAACTGTATTTATTTGGTGTGTGAAAATGTAGTAATTTTACTGCATTTTCTTAATTAAGTTTGGATTAAAACAAAATACCACACAGGTGGCAAAATAAATCCGGCCCACACTCAGGCCACATGCTTGTTTTCTTCTGGCCGAGTAAACACCTGGTTCCACGGCCCGAATCTGGCCTATATACAGCATGACTGTCAGATGCTGCTTCCACATCTGGACCAATTACGGTGCAAACACAGAAAATCTTCCCTATGTCAGTCAATGTCGGAGGATAAATGTGGAAGTATATGGGCCAGACTCAGGCCGAGGACGCGGGTATATGGGCCAGCATTGCGACAGAAGTTTAATTTTTCTAGCTGGGTGCAAACCAAATGTACTTTACAGTCTTCGACTATATGAAAAGCAGTTTGGTTGACGAACAGTGACGCTTTAAATGGTGCATCACAAACCAGCAGCAGGTAGTGGATCTGATGGATAATCCCATGGAGTCTGCAGCCAGCAGACATGGAGGAAGTCGGGTCTTTCATACTAGGAAAAAAAGTACCAATGATGCTCAGTTTCATGTCTTCAGTAGGGATATAAAAATGTGAACAGTGTAGACGAGACGGTGACTTTGGCGCCTTTAGAAATGTGGGGTTTCTCCACAGCACTGTCACACAATAAATACCCAGCATGCTCCATGTTCCCCTGTCCCACTCTGGGGGCCACGGGATGATTTAGTCACTGACTGGCATATAGAGGGTGACAACTTTTTTTTCTGAGTAATAAAATATAGCAGCAACAGAGGCATATTGTCTCTGAGGACACATTATCTATGACGGGACGAGCGAGGGCAACAGCGATACCACCCCATCCCACATATCCATGAGGTCAGCGTGGGTGTGTTTCAATGATTTGACATCAGAGCCTCACAAATTTATCACTCACTCACTTCCCCTGAATGCTGCCTACTGTTCTGAGTTGCAGTTCTGAGGACTTGGAGCTGAATCCGGGAGCGGTTCACCTCTTGGTTTAGTGGAGATAATAGAGCATCAAGGCCGCACCACAGAGTCGCAGCTCATGATTTAGTCTGATTTCTGGACTGGACCGTCACCCTGTGCAGTCAGAATTGGTCTAAGTGAGTGTTAAGAAATGCTGCTGGAGCCTGCAGCACAGAGCGGACTCTGCACTGTATATGTGTATGTGTGTGTGAGGAGACAGTTACTGACAGAGGAGGGATCTGAATGAATTATATAATGATGATGACAAGCCTTATGGTCTGCTATGACCCTTATCAGTCAAAAACTTTTAGTATGTCTTCCCCTGGATTTACACCTTTACATCAGCTTTGAAGAGGTTATACTGTATAATAATACATATTATAATATTATCATTCTGACATTGGCTGTATCTTGTGATATTTAAATCTCTGCTAAAACCCTGATTTATTTAATCTATATCTAATTTGAGTTACTGATTCTTATAAGCAGAGACTCACCAGACAAATACTAGAGGGGATGACAGGTGGTGGATATTTTATAGGCTGATTCCATATTTAAATTACTGGACTTAAAGCTGATGACCTTAGTATTTAAAAAAGATCAGTCCAAAACAAGGCTGTAATGACGGCAAACAAATTAAAGGACCATACCAGTGTTATTGTTTGTTTGCTTTTACTGTGGACTGACCATGACTGTGGTAAACCACCACAGTAAACTTCATGGTTGTTTCTAATCCACTTCCAATGGAATTTCCATTTAAGTGTAATTTAAATCTACAACACCATAACTACATGAGTTGCTCCTTTCAAACTCAGACATGCTTCCAAAAAGGTAAAAACATCCAAAACAAAATAAAAAGTGATTTGTAATTAGATAAAAATTGAATATACCATGGCCCTTTAAAGTTGCCATAAACTTATTATTTGGCCCTTAAACCTTCTGACTATTATTTTATTTTAATGGCTGTGAAAAGTTCCATCAACCTCAGTCTGAATCACTTTAAGCGCTCCGGTGTCCTTACCTGCTGCGATGTGGTCAGCGCGGCCACGCTATGCAGGCTGAGGCACCGCGACGCGCACCTCGCCCGGGAAACGCTCTCCGGCCACGACTCATCATCACCGTCAGTGTCCGCGTGCTGCTTCCTGGCGCAGACGCCGGAGCCGAGGAGGAAAATAATCCACAGGGACAGCATCTCTTCTCCGGCAGTGGGGCTGGGAGACAGGAGGTTAGTGGGGGAGTAAATCTGATGGGAGTCCGGCTAAACTGGAAGTTATATAGCCAAGGGAGGAGCTATGAGATCTAGGCGTATACACAGTTAGGTCAGGATGCTGAGCCAGACTCAGCACCTGATGTGATGCACGGACTGAAGTTCATGATGCTTTGGAAAGACAAATATATAGTATTTACTCAGTGTAATAAACTATCAGCTGTAGGTATCATAAAACTGAAAACTTTTAGGAGTCCCAGAGGCAGAGTTTCATCAGGGGCACTTTCATTATTCAGTTCTTAAATATAGCTGAATCAATAAAAGCAGTTTTTTCTATTATTTTTTATTCATCTCATATTGTTCTGTCTATTTTTGTATATTTTCTGTCATGTAATAACAGTAAAAAATTGAAAATGGTTGCCATTAAGAACATTGCTGTGTTATTTATTTATTTTTTTTTTTACATCTTTGCTGAAAGTTCAACTAAATAAGTCAAACCGTCTTATTTTAAGGTTTTCAATTATCATTTAATTAATGGGCTTCAGTGGAAGCCTAATATACAGACTTTGTTTTCAAATTAGTCATTTCTAATGGAAAAGACAAAAAAGAATTATACACTATTAGCTGGTTCATCTTGTGTTCTGAAAAAAAAAAGATTGTGATCCATGGGCCAGGACATTGATATGCTGGAATATTGCACCAATGACTGTTGAGAAATCATCCTACAAGCCATAATGTGTGCTTGGGGTCAAGCATGGACGATTTGGGCAAGGACCGATGTCAGGAGGTAGAGAAGCATTGCCCCTAAAAAATGCCAATAAAATCATGGCATCACATTTGTGCCATGCACTGACAGATGACACCGTCTGTTGAGGCTATGAGTGTTTTTGGTCTGGTGTTACCTGTGGTCATTCAGTCTCTCCGTCCAGTCCCCTCCACTCTCGTTGTGGTGTTGCATGGTTTGTTGTTTTGGCTGACTCTTTCTGACTTTAAGACTATGCAGCCAAGGGAGTTCCATGGGATCTTATTGATTTAGTGGTATCTGTCCAGGTCCTAAGTCAAGATAGGATTCTCCTCATCAACTTCTTGTACCCTTTGGCTTGGAGTGCATCCCCAGAACTACCCCATCCACCTCCCTCTGTCTATCCTCCTAACCCTAACCCTGATTCAGAAGACATTTATATTTAAATTTTACTTCAAATATATTCAAATCTTTATCTTTGCTACAATAATGAACAAACAGAATCTATTTTAACCAATTAACACCAATCAGTGTGTTGTTCTTGTCCATATTGGAAACATTGTTCAAACATTATCAGTGTATAGCTTGAACCGCTAACAACAAAAGCTAGCTGGATTTAGGAGTTATCAAACCTGGAGTCCAGTCAAAGAAATCAGATTGGAGGTGTGACTCTGTGTCTGAACCTGCCGGCCCACTGGGGCCGCTCTGAGTAAGGTTCGCATGCTCTCCTCGTACCTGAGTAGTAGTTTCCTCAAGGTAGTTTGGCTTCCCCCCAACGACATGCAACTGCACAGTTGTTCGTCTCTATGTGTCACCCTCACAATGGACAGGCGACCTGTCCAGGGTGTACCCCATCCGATGTAAGCCTGGATTGGCTCCAGACCCCACGACCCTAAAGGATAAGTACTATAGCTAAAGGAAGGATGGGTGGATACTGTTCCGCAAGATCAACATCAAACTCCCATACTCACATTTTCATTTTGGTGAAGGAACTTTTAAGCTGATCTTTATGACTGTTTGAATTAACATTAGCTCTGTTAGGAATCCATAGAAACCTTATAATTAAATACTGAGGACTGATGACAACTACAATCTACTATGACGATCATAGAACGTGCTGCAACAACATTAGCAGTACTTGTTATCTTACAATAGTTCATAAGCTTTATGGCACATTTCCAGTGGTTTTATTTTGTGGTGAGGCCAGATGTTGTAGCACACGGGCAAGCTCACACCTCTTGCTGTTCTATTAATGTAGAGGAAACATTTATGTTGGAGAATCTGTGATTTTACACACAGGTGGAACTTTTTCCAGGAGAGTGAGAGTGTTTTCTCCTCGGTGCAGCCAATTTTGAGGGGGGGGAGGTGTATTTTCCAGGGAATCCCAGCTGTAATGTTCGCTGGTAGCTACAAAACAACAGCATTTTTATGGACTCCTCTATTAAAGTAACCACAAACATATCTCTCATAAGCAGGCAGGGCACCGCTGCTTTCCCTGCCTGAGGGAAGAAGAAAACATGACGTTTTGGAAACTCTGAAGAGATCCTCCTCGGGTTGTCAGTTCTCTCATGCCTGGCACAAGGGGCCCCGTTTGCACTGCTGGAGAATCCTGCAGTGTTAACAAGTTGCCTGTATTTCCCATCGCATTTACAAACACACTCATACTGTGGTGCTCCCTCTCAGGTTTTATGGTGCTATGTCTTTATCCTAATGAGGCTTTGCAGCTGAGAGTTTTTACCTCTGATTCAGAGAGTCAGGTTCATTACACTCTCGTAGACTACAAGGCAATGAGGTGTTGTCAACCCAACGATGTCAACTGTTCACTGAATCTTTCTTGGTACACCCACTGGAGGAAACTGACACGGAGCCAAACAACCAAATCTCTGAGGTGTTTTTTGTGAATGAAGCGAGCGTCTGATGCTCTGGTGGTCCACCCACAACAGGAAGAAGAAAATCCCTCTGAGCTCCCCACTGTGAGCCTGACTTACTGTTTCACAAATAAAAACAAAACACTATGACGTTGTAATTGACTCATTGTGTGTTCACTTGTGTATGCCAGTTTGCTGGGGCTAAAACTGGCCTTTTTTTTCCAAAATGTCAAACACAGTTCAGTCAGGGAAGGCAACACAAGTTAACATTAACATCTCTTCTAACACACTTAAACCGAAATGAAGACAATAAGACCAATCTTATTGTCTTCATTCGACCAGTTGGTCAGCTTGGGTTGTTCGAGTTTTCTCCTGCAAGCTGGAGGAAATTGAAGAAAGACCTTCTGCACCACCATGAATATTCCTCTCTATCACAGAAAGTAAACACAGTTAGTGTTGGGAATAGAATCAAATAATGATATAATAATAATAATGATATGATATAATGTTGTAGTTTTGTCAAAAGGGGAAATGTGAAATCTACGCTTCAGGTATCTAAGCCAGGACTTGGAATCCCACATACAGCTGATCACTTGAATTCTTTTGATTGACAACATTTCAGTCATTGGACGTTGATTAGGAAAATTGTACCTAACGTTTATAGCACCTGCAACATTTATATAAATATGACCTCTGTGCATCTGACTTGTCTGAAGGTCTGGAGGACTCCAGAGGCAAAGTTGAGTGATTTATGAAACAAAACCGAACAAAAGGGTCACAACAGGGTGAGGCAGGCAGGGGTCAAAAACACAGAAGGTAGTCTCAAACAGACAAAAAGACGTAATGAAGCACAGACGAACAGTCCAAACACAGGTAAAGGTAGAAACGGGGAAACATATAGTAGAGGCAAATGATAATGTTGTGGCAAATGAAGGATATACAAAGAAAAACACAAAGCCAGGAAGTAAAAAACATATAAGGTGAGTGATTTCAAGATAAAACAGGAAATACTACAAAGAGTCCAGGTGTGATACCGCACAAAGGGTCAGATCGTGACAGTGTTTGATATGACCAATGGGAGCATCTCTTGAAATACCCCCACCGGACCTTCATTGTCATGGTTACAAAAATAAACACATGGTTAAGCATATGGAATGGTAATAGGTTTACGCACAAAAACTACTTGGTTAGGTTTAGGGACAGATCATGGTGTGGGTCAAAAGAAGTACTTGCTCAAGGTAAGAGGACCTTCGTCTTCATGGGTACAATAACATGCAGTTGATGTTGTGGCATGGATAAAACAAACAATATCGACTATTGGTTTCAAAAAGCAAATGAACTGCCCTGGGTTTTGTCGAACCATCCATCCTAACACCAACTTTGATTGACCAAACTGATTCCTCCTTTGCTCCCATCATAATTTACCACGGCCACTAGAGGTCACCTGACAATGAAGTATAACTGTGGGTCATAATAAAGTGTTGCAACAGTGAATACAATGTTAACGGATAAAAAATAATATATTTAGCTGTATGGCAGATGAATATCAAACAGGAGTTGTTTCAGAATGTGTATTTATAGCTGCCTAAGAAAACCCACAGGAATCTGTTGCAGATTTCCCATCACGTTTTCCATTGTTTTTCCATTGTGTGCGTGTCTTCCTCTCTGCATGAGTTTCTGGTGGAATCCCAGTTTTCAGTGTGGGGTCCTCCAGGCTCCACGCAGACAGCTGAATGGTATTTCCACACTGCTCTCAGGCACTTGTTACAGAAGGGAAGCCCCACTTAATGGGGTACACCTCATAAAGAAGGAGGTTGGTCATTTTCCTGTGGTTTTACTGAGCGTGTGGTGGGGAGGAGGGAGTCCACATTCGGGGGTTTCTCTCCAGGATCGGTCCTGATGGAAGTTTGTGCGCTACATGATTATAGGATTATCTGTTGGTGATTATTTAACATGGCATCACAGATCGGTTTTCCAAGGTTTTTGGTTGAAAGAATTAATTTAACCTCCAGGTCGTCCATCCAAACCTCCAATTTTTTTCTGTCCGGTAGCAGTGGCAGCAAACAAAGCAGCTCAGCCCAGATGTGCAACGCCCCCTCCATCTGCTCATAGTGGATCCTGAGACAGTCACAGGCCAGATGGGATATGCCCTCCCTCCAGCTCTGCCCCCGGGGCCTCCTCCCTGCTGGACGTGTTCTGAATACCAGCACATAGAGGCATCTCGACCTGTTCCGAGACTGTTCTGGAGATCGAAGCTCTTTACACTTAAATATGAAGCCCAGTTTTATTGTTTCAATCACTACTCAAAGCACGTAGCAACCATGACCAACCAAGACTATCTTTTAAAAACGACTTTTCTAAACTGCTAATGAATACCATTAAGGAGGCGTCTGATTGGTCCCAAATTTGTTCTGCAGCATGGCAACAAGCGACAGGAAGAACACCACCATGGAGTCAGTCTGGGATCACATAAAAATGCTGAAGAACTGAGGCAGGTTCTCCAAGGTACTTAGAACAACCTACCTGAAGAGCTGTGTCAAAGTGTACCCGTAAAAAAATGTAATATATGACATATATGTCCCTATATCAAGAGAGATGTTGCCATATATGTCACCTATAAGGAGATATATTATTATCACATATATACATCCTCTGGATATATGAATATATAAGTTTATAATAAATTTGATATACCCATGGTAAAATGTATATGTATATATATTAAAAATATGTGATAAATGTTTACATAGAACACATATGTTTTCTATTCAATAAATTTATGCAAGTTTAATAAAACAACATACGTGTTAAAACATCTATATGTTTAGATATGTTTTTCTTGTTAATTTCGCATTTGTTTTAAACATGTATAGCTAAAAGTGATCTCAGATTTTTGGACCCTACTGTTTATAATATCAGTATATACTGATAGGCTGTGGGATTGATATATATTGATGTAACATATGTCTACAATACAAGCATACATACATAAATGTGGGTTATATATATATTTTTTTTTTTTTCTAGAACATTTTGGAGCAGAAACCCTTTCCCCACATTGACTGTATCTGCTTTACAGACAAATTTACAACAGCCTTTAAATCGTAAGTCACTGTTACGAGTGACAGGCCGAGCCATCAGCTCATGAGAGCGGCCGCCCGCACAAAGGAGAACACATTTATCTCTATTTCCACTGATCTTTGCCTGTGACTGAAAAAAATGTAATGCATTTGCATATGTTCTGCTCAACAGATAATCCATTATGAAACTGAAGGTGAAATGACTTGGCTTTAATAAATGATAAGCTTCAACACTTTGCCATTCAAATTCATCATGAAGAGAAGGAAA